CAGAGGGTCTCAACAGCAACAGCCTCTTAAACAGGCCTTTGCAGCCTAGCCAAGGGCTGGGCTGATAGGGTATAAAGAATTCTTGAAATTGGTCACAAGTATATCTCAAGGTCTCTGTGCAGAGCCTCTTGGTCTGTGACCTTTGAGATCTCTAGAACTCTAATTCCCTACAGGACTTTCAGGACTGTAATCCCCTGCAAGATCTCTAGGACTGTAATCCCCTGCAGGACCTCTTTGGACTAATCCCCTGTAGGACCTCTAGGACTGTAATCTCCTGTAGGGCTCTAGGACTGTAATCCCCTGTAGGATCTCTAGGACTGTAATCCCTTGTGGGACCTCTACGAATGTAACCCCTCCATGATTGCTAGGATTGTAACCCATGGCATGTCAGTGGGACAGTGACCTCCTGAGGACCTCCTGGGTTGTAACCCCTTGTGGGTCATACAGTACTGTAACCTCTGGTGGGGTCTCTAGGAATGTGAATCTTCTCTCCACAGGATCACTCGGAATGTGAATCTTCTCTTCACAGGATCACTCGGAATGTGAATCTTCTCTCCACAGGATCACTCGAATGTGAATCTTCCCTTCACAGTACCTCTAGGAATGTGAGCATTTTCCCTCCTGGACCTCTAGGACTGTTACCTCCACGTGACTGTAATCCCCATGTGACCATAACCTCCACACGACTATCCCCCACTTCACTGTATCCGCCATGTGACTGTTAACAGTTTTTGTGCTCTGTATGTGAACTGTGGTGCCTCTGGGACTGTAACCCCTCCTGAACCTGCAAGAATATGCCCTGTGGGACCATTAGGATTGTAACCCCATCAGATCTCTAGGACTGTAACCCCCGCAAGGCCTCTGTGATGGTAATCCTCGCATTACCTCTTGGAATTTGTTTTCCCCTCTATCCTGCAAGATCTCTGGAACCATAACCCTCAGCAGTACATATCTCTAGGACCATAACTTTCCCATGGGACCAGCAGTAACGTCATCATGGGACCTCTAAGACTGTGACCCCTTATAAAACTAGACGGATAACTGTACATTAAAATGTTAATTTTGATTATGTGGGACATCACTCACCATCGAGTAGCTTTTGCCATTTGGCATCTATGTGGAGTCATTGAGCAGTGAAACAGTTTGTTTTCTATGATTTCTTCTGACTTATTCGTTTCCTTTTTGTTTCTTTTTTTAATATTTTCCTCCTGGAATACTGTAATCGTAATTTGGCCTGTAGCAATCTTCATGGCTTACCTCATAGCAAGAATATCATTGGGGATTTTTCTGAAAGCAGTGTTTTGTCATATCACTTTTAACTAACATAATCAGACAACATATTTCTTCATTCAGTGTACTTCTTCACATTTCTGTATATATAAACATTTAGTTTATGTTTGTAAGTTCAATGCATTACTTTTAATATAGTATAGTATTCAAGTGGAAATTGGTTTACAAGGATTTAGTAGTAGTGTGCTTTGAAGTTAGTCTTTACTTAAAGATGTGAATATTGGTAACCCTATCTAGTACAGTGGTACCTCGAGTTTTGAACAGTTCTCAACTCGAACAATTATGTAAGTGTATTTTTGTAAGTGCTTTTGCAAGTGTATTTTTGGGGTCTGAAACAGACTGATCTAATTTACATTATTCCTCAAGGGAACAAATTTGTTTGGTAATGGCACTAGAACAGCCTTCTGGAACGAATTATGGCCGTAACTCTAGGTACCACTGTATTAATCCTTTCACTGTTTAGGTCGTATATGTGCATCTTACGCGCTAATGTGTTTGACATATATTTTTTTTTTTATTATCACACTGGCCGATTCCCGCCAAGGCAGGGTGGCCCGAAAAAGAAAAACTTTCACCATCATTCACTCCATCACTGTCTTGCCAGAAGGGTGCTTTACACTACAGTTTTTAAACTGCAACATTTACACCCCTCCTTCAGAGTGCAGGCACTGTACTTCCCATCTCCAGGACTCAAGTCCGGCCTCCCGGTTTCCCTGAACCCCTTCATAAATGTTACTTTGCTCACACTCCAACAGCACGTCAAGTATTAAAAACCATTTGTCTCCATTCACTCCTATCAAACACGCTCACGCATGCCTGCTGGAAGTCCAAGCCCTCGCACACAAAACCTCCTTTACCCCTTCCCTCCAACCTTTCCTAGGCCGACCCTACCCCGCCTTCCTTCCACTACAGACTGATACACTCTTGAAGTCATTCTGTTTCACTCCATTCTCTCTACATGTCCGAACCACCTCAACAACCTTCCTCAGCCCTCTGGACAACAGTTTTGGTAATACCGCACCTCCTCCTAACTTCCAAACTACGAATTCTCTGCATTATATTCACACCACACATTGCCCTCAGACATGACATCTCCACTGCCTCCAGCCTTCTCCTCGCTGCAACATTCATCACCCATGCTTCACACCCATATAAGAGCGTTGGTAAAACAATACTCTCATACATTCCCCTCTTTGCCCCCAAAGGGACAAAGTTATTTGTCTCCACAGACCCTAAGTGCACCACTCACCCTTTTCCCCTCATCAATTCTATGATTCACTTCATCTTTCATAGACCCATCCGCTGACACGTCCACTCCCAAATATCTGAATACATTCACCTCCTCCATACTCTCTCCCTCCAATCTGATATCCAATCTTTCATCACCTAATCTTTTTGTTATCCTCATAACCTTACTCTTTCCTGTATTCACCTTTAATTTTCTTCTTTTGCACACCCTACCAAATTCATCCACCACTCTCTGCAACTTCTCTTCAGAATCTCCCAAGAGCACAGTGTCATCAGCAAAGAGCAACTGTGACAACTCCCTCGCATTTACTTCTCTTACAACCCCATCTATAAATATATTAAACAACCACGGTGACATCACACATCCTTATCTAAGGCCTACTTTTACTGGGAAATAATTTCCCTCTTTCCTACATACTCTAACTTGAGCCTCACTATCCTCGTAAAAACTCTTCACTGCTTTCAGTAACCTACCTCCTACACCTTACAACCTGCAACATTTTGCCACATTGCCCCCCTATCCACCCTGTCATACGCCTTTTCCAAATCCATAAATGCCACAAAGACCTCTTTAGCCTTATCTAAATACTGTTCACTTATATGTTTCACTGTAAACACCTGGTCCACACACCCCCTACCTTTCCTAAAGCCTCCTTGTTCATGTGCTATCCTATTCTCCATCTTACTCTTAATTCTTTCAATAATAACTCTACCATACACTTTACCAGGTATACTCAACAGACTTATCCCCCTATAATTTTTGCACTCTCTTTTATCCCCTTTGCCTTTATACAAAGGAACTATGCATGCTCTCTGCCAATCCCTAGGTACCTTACCCTCTTCCATACATTTATTAAATAATTGCACCAACCACTCTAAAACTATATCCCCACTTGCTTTTAACATTTCTATCTTTATCTCATCAATCCCGGCTGCCTTACCCCCTTTCATTTTACCTACTGCCTCACGAACTTCCTCCACACTCACAACTGGCTCTTCCTCACTCCTGCAAGATGTTATTCCTCCTTTGACATATATATACTCAAAAATTCTAGTGGCTTCAAATCAAGCAGGAGAAGGCTGGTAGGCCCACATGTGAGAGAATGGGTCTGTGTGGTCATTCTGTGCAGTATAAAAGAATCCTGCAGCATGCAGTGCATTATGAGAGAAAAAAACTCTGACCGTGTTTTTGGATTAAAACACCGACTTTGAGGTGTATTTTCGTATAGTTTTTATGGTTATATTCTCGTTTTCGTAGTCTTATTTGATAGAATGGCCACACTAGCTGGAGATTTGTCTGTAAAAACTTGCATTTGTGGTCACAGTGGTGCCTATGCTAACCTTCCTATGGTGTAGAAATATACCTAGTTGGATGAATCTTATTGTGGCTAGCTGGTCCAGTGGCTAATGCGACGGTCTGGAGTTTTGAGACTCTCTGATCGCGGGTTCTATCCCAGCCCATGGTATGGTTTGTTTGCAATTGTGTCATTACGATTTCGTGAGTCATTTTATAGAAATGGAAGTGATTTTGTTTGGTTTTACTATGAAATGGAGCTCAAAGTAGGGGAAATGTTTGATTTTTGCTGATGTTCAAGAGGAGACAAATGACATCATTGTCTAATAAGTGTCCAACTAGCCATTCTGTTATGCAGCCATGAATGGGTTGACATTCTTTACACGTATAATTATTACAACATTGCAGTAGTCTGCGTAACATCATCTATTTTTTGTTTGAATAAAAATTCAATATAGAAAGCAAAAGTAATATCAGAGGGGCCTGGAGACGTGACTGATGAACAAAGAAAATGTTACTTTAGAGCCTGGAATGTCTGCAGTGTTCATTCTGGACCCTATTTTGAAATTGTCATATTTTTTAATTTTTGTGAAATTGGCCAAATTGCCAATTTCTGACCACTTTATTGGGTAGTTGAAATTGGTAAATGGGCAGTTTCTTGTACTCAATCAATAGAACAAATAGAGTTCTGAAGAAATAGCTATGAGTTTGGTCAACTGGGACAATGGAATTAGCCAAAAATAGGGGTCAAAGTGGGTGAAATTGCTGATTCTTAAATATCACTGGGGTCGCTAACTTCACGAGTGTAATTCCGTAAGTTTTCCATCAGATTTCGTAGTTTTGGTGGCATTACCATCGGGAAAAGATTCTCTATCATTTCATAAGAAAAGAGTTTTTTTTTTTTTTTTTCAAATATTTGGTGTTGTGACAGTCAAAGGGTTAAGGATGCCAGTAAAGGCCTTGGAGGAGGTTAATGTCAAATTTGAGTTATGGGATGTAAATATACTGTACTGCAAAGCCCTTCAATTCAATTATTGGTAGTAATTATGTATTTGTATTTCATATGAATAATTTTATAATCAACTTATGATATTTTAAGCAGTCAATTCTTTGTAGTAAGTTTTAGTGGAGCATGACTTATAAAAGAAATCCTTGGTTCCTTTATCAGGGTTATGCGTGGCCCTTCTATAAACCAGTGGACGCTGATCTCCTTGGGTTGTCAGATTATCACGAGATCATCAAACACCCCATGGACTTGGGCACCGTTAAGGTAAAGTTTCCTCTTACCTCTCTTTACATATGAACATTTTTGCTGTGACAAATAATTGCAATAAGATTTTGGTAAATAAATGTATTTGCACTTGACTAAAGTTTTTATTACATCAAGGGTGAAGACAGTGTGAAATAATATTTATGATATACCTTATACCTAGTGCAGTATCAAAATGTTAGATAAAATTAAGAGTTCATAGGTTGTGTATAGGAAAATATAATTAACAGTGTTCTGTAAACCAAACCATACCCCGCCAGGATTGAACCCGCGGTCAGAGAGTCTCAAAACTCCAGACCGTCGCGTTAGCCACTAGACCAACTAGCCACAATAAGATTCGTCCAACTATGTATATTTCTACACCATAGGAAGGTTAGCACAGGCACCACTGTGACCACAAATGCAAGTTTTTACAGACGAATCTCCAGCTAGCGTGGCCGTGACAAACTCTAGCTCAAGTCCCCTTACTGCCGTCAACATGACTCACGAAATCGTAATGACACGATTGCAAACAAACCATACCCCGGCCAGGATTGAACCCGCGGTCAGAGTCTCAAAACTCCAGACCGTCGCATTAGCCACTAGACCAGCTAGCCACAATAAGATTCGTCCAACTAAGTAGAATCTTATTGTGGCTAGCTGGTCTAGTGGCTAGCGCGACGGTCTGGAGTTTTGAGACTCTCTGACCGTGGGTTCAATCCCGGCCAAGGTATGGTTCATCAGTGATTAGTTCTTCATTGTCCTCCTCCACCAACTTTTCCACATTCTCCCCACTAACCTCCAACCCCAAGGACTTCCCCAATGCCACAATGGATTCCTCAGCTGGCATAGGATTCCCGGGGTTAGCCTCAAACCCTTCAAAATCCCTTTTGTCTACACATTCTGGCCACAGTTTCTTCCAAGCAGAGTTCAAGGTCCTCTTAGTCATTTCCTCCCAAGCCTTACCTATAATGTTTACACAATTGAGGATGCTAAAGTGATCTCTCCAAAACTCTCTTAGAGTCGATTGAGTTTCTGAGGTCACTACAAAGCACCTTTCAAACAGAGCTTTTGTGTACAGTTTTTTGAAGTTTGCAATGACCTGCTGGTCCATGGGCTGCAGGAGAGGAGTGGTATTAGGAGGCAAAAACTTGATGTTAATGAAGCTCGTGTCTGCAGAAAGTCGCTCTGCCACGTTTGAAGGATGACCAGGAGCATTGTCTAATACCAGGAGGCACTTAAGGTCAAATTTATTTTCAATTAGGTAATTTTTCACTGTGGGGACAAATGCATGGTGTAACCAGTCATAGAAAAAGTCCCTAGTGACCCATGCCTTACTGTTTGCCCTCCACAGCACACACAAATTAGCCTTGAGGACATTGTTTTGCCTGAACGCTCTGGGAGTTTCAGAGTGATACACCAATAAAGGCTTCACTTTGCAATCACCACTAGCATTGGCACACATCAACAGAGTAAGCCTGTCTTTCATAGGCTTATGTCCTGGGAGTGCCTTTTCCTCCTGAGTAATGTAGGTCCTGCTTGGCATTTTCTTCCAAAACAGGCCTGTTTCGTCACAATTGAACACTTGTTCAGGTTTCAATCCTTCAGCCTCTATGTACTCCTTGAATTCATGCACGTATTTTTCAGCCGCTTTGTGGTCCGAACTGGCAGCCTCACCATACCTTATCACATGATATATGCCACTACTATTCTTAAATCTCTCAAACCAACCTTTGCTGGCCTTAAATTCACTCGCATCATCACTAGTTGCAGGCATTTTTCTAATTAAATCCTCATGCAACTTCCTAATCATTTCACATATGATCGATTGAGAGGTGCTATCTCCTGCTATCTGTTTTTCATTTATCCACACCAATAACAGTTTCTCAACATCTTCGAGTACTTGCGATCTCTGTTTCGAAAACAAAGTTGCACCTTTGGCAAGAACAGCTTCCTCGATTGCCGTTTTCTTGGCCACAATAGTAGCAATGGTTGATTGGGGTTTACTATACAACCTGGCCAGCTCGGAGATGCACACTCCACTTTCATTCTTAGCAATGATCTCTTTCTTCATATCCACAGTAATTCTCACCTTTATTCCTGTAGTTTTGGCACTAGAAGCTTTCTTGGGTCCCATGGTGACTTATTTTGCAGGTGAAATCACTAAAAACACTGTGATAATATGAAATGTTCCGATTGTATGCTTGGATGTGAACGCGGAGGCTGGCTTGTAAACACTGCCACCCACGGAACAAGTGAGGCTGGCTCAGGCTGCATGTGACGCGTCTCGGACGAATCGTGTTGAGCAAGTTTTTTAGCGCTAGGTGAGGCAAAATTTTTGCGTTAAAATTTATCGCTAGGCAGATTTAACGTTATGCGATGCCATCGTTAGGCGAGGGTCCGCTGTATGTACAGTGGTGTCATTACCATCGGGAAAAGTTTCTCTGTCATTTCATAAGAATTTTTTTTTTCCCAAAAATTTTGCGACACCAGGAGACACTTCAGGATTTAGTGTTGCGACAGTCAAAGGGTTAAATCTTAGGTTTACTCTATTTGGTGTATTTAATGTTAAATGTGTTATGAAATTAGTTGAGTTATTAGCATCAATTTTGCAAGGCTGTACTATTTATTGCCTTAACAATAATTATTATTAGTGTAGTTTTAGCCCTTTCAGGGTCCGTCCCGTAGATCTACGGCTTCACGTTCAGTGTCCAAACCGTAGATCTACACCAAAATTCTAGCAGCGTCAAATTTAGTGCGAGAAACACTCATAGGCCTACATGTCAGAGAATGGGTCTGCGTGGTGGGTGTGCGCCGTAAACAAAAATTCTAGGCACCCTCGTAGCATTGTGGGAACGCTGGCTCGGTTACCTTTGTTCACCATGCCTCGTCACAAAGCAGCTCTCACTCCAAGGAAAATTGGGACTCTCCTCTTCCTTTCTGATAGTTCTGACACTGATGGAAGTGGAAATGAAGACGAATTCTTTGGCTTTGATCAGTTAGTGACCGAAAGGAATGATCAGGATATCGATAATAGCGCACAAAACTCTGACGATCCTCAACCTTCTACCTCTGGTGTGGGTACTCCTCAGTCAGGATCAGTTGTACCTCATTGCAAGAGAAAACTATTATTTTCGCGTGGCCAGGCCTCTGACTTCAGTAATGATGATGATAGTGACGTGGATTGTGATTTTATTGCTCTTGACGATCGTTTGAGTAGTGATAGCGAGGAATCATATTCACCAGTGAAGCGTCGGTATGTACATTGCCGCATGCGCTCGGGTAGTGTACCCTATGCAGTGCCCAGGGGACGGAGTACATCCCGGAGTACATCCCATGACCCTTCACCAGGAATAGACAGTGAAAGTGAGGATGATGTGGCTACACTTGGCATGGATAGACCACAGGCATCAGTAGATGGTGTTAGTCTTAATGGTAGTGCCACGGCCATGTGTCACTCGCCAGCCCAGGCTGGGACCCTCGCTGCTGATTCCTCAGTTCAAGGACGAAGCGGAGTGTCAGCCACCAGGCCACCACAACCACAACTACCTGCACAACCAGCCTATGATGTCCAGTATCCACCAGCAAACCGTATCTGGGATTGGCAGCAAAATCCCAGGTTTGTTCCCAAGTCCCACCACTTTGATGACTCTCGAAGTGGAATTCTAGGTACTTTTCCCCTTCGAACCACGGCCAATGAACTGGAATGTTTTGAAATATTCTTTGACCAGCCCTTGATGGGAGTTATTGTCAGGGAAAGTAACAAGTATTTTGAGTACACCATGGCAAATACGATCATATCACCACAGTCTAAGACTGCACCAGTGGAAAGAGACGATTGTTGCAGAAATGTATTTGCTTTTTGCAACAATAATGCTTATGCCTCATGTCTATAAGCATAATATAAAAGCATACTGGTCCACAGATTGGCTAATTTCTACCCTGGTCTTCAGTGAAATCATCCCAGTGAACAGGTTTATCTTACTGTTACGTATGTTGCACTTCTCTGGCAAAACCAGGCCTGACAGAAGTGACAGGTTATACAAGATTAGAAATGTTTTTATGTATCCCAAACAAAAGTTCAACATATACTTTTATCCATTCAAGAATCGTGTAATTGACGAGTCTTTGATTTTGTTCAAAGGAGGAAACGCTTTGGTATAAAACTGTTTGTACTCTGTGACTGTGACAGTGGCCTGGTGTTGGATAGTGTTGTAACACGGATGTAAAACTTGAAAGATACCGGGTTTTTTGGGTATCAAGGGTGATGTGTGAGAACATGATGGCACCTTATGTTGGTAAGGGGAAATTTTTTAAAACCCAATACGGGTCACGCCCTTTATTCATGATTTCTTGCGAGCGAACAAGACGAGGTTTTGGGGCACATTTGCTTCGCGCAGGTGCTCGGGTGATGAGTGCGGGGGTTTTTACTGCCTTTTCATCATGGCATTGCGGGTGGCATGCAAACAGATGTCAATTGTTGAAAAACCTTTCACCTAATGAAATGCAAGACAGTGGAAAAGTGTTCGAGTGATAATGAACATATTCGAAAACCAGGACATGATTTTTTATACAAAAAACATGCGCTTGGTTGACAAATGTGACTGCAGTTTGGCTTTGGGGTTGATTTGTTCAAAAGAGTTACAATGGTACATGAAACTTTTCTTCCATCTCATGGCATTTCAGTGCCAGTCAAAAATAGTACCAAAAAAAGACGGGCAACAGACCACGTATGGTGAATTTTGTTTGTTTGTCGACAATAAAGAAGTCCCAGGTAAAAACACCGGTTACAACAAGGTCCCCCGAATTCCTCAAAATTTTACCCAAGCTTTTGAGGGGGAAGGGGTGTCATTTCATAATACAGTTTCCCTTCAATCAGAAAAAATTTGCTCAGAGGTTGCATTGTCTGTGCCAAACAAAACGCGGCAAAAAAGACAAAAAGACACCGGTTTATGTGCGGGGAAAAAGTAAGGTGCATGGTGCCTTGTTTCAAGGAGTTCCACAAGCTCCGCAGTTCAAAA